TGGAGCTCAAAGTAAATAAAGTGGCTGCGTCAATGAATGAGCCTCAGGCCAACACACCTGCCAATGAGTCCACAGGTGGGCTCCATCTAGGGGTCCTGGGAACTCCAGAAGCAAGTATCCCTTCACAGGGCCTAGCAAAGATTCAGAAGCTTTGCCGTGAATCTGCTACATTGTCTATCACAGACAACACTCTTCACGATCTACATAGTTATACAGACAGACCATCTGCCTCCTCTCTGCCCAAGCTCCCAACCACCCTTCTCCACACAAGGCAACCACACCTCCCAGGCTTAAGCCTTCTGCCTTTAGCCCAAGAGCTGCTAAGACCCACTCGATCACAGCTGTGGTCCCCACACTGAAATCCCTGAGCACCCTGGACACACACAGGAATTTGAGGAATGTATACGAATGGATAAAATTGGGGTGCTAAGGTAGGGCAATGGTGGCGCACGCCTCTAATCCCAGCACTCAGGAGGCAGGGGCAGGTGGATCTCTGTGAGTTTGAGTCTAACCTGATCTACAGGGCGAGTTCCAGGAGAGACTCGAAATCTAGAGAAACCCTGTCTCAAAAACAAAAACAAGAATTGGGGTGCTAACTGTGCAGGGTTGGGGTCCTGACCACCTTTCCCTCAAATGACCCCACTCTACTCTCTAGAACTCCTGACTCATAATCTGAGAATTTCCCCGCATCCTCAGTGACTTCCAGCTCCTTCAGTGTCTACCTTGTGGGGACCCCAAGTTCTCTCGCATCTGCCTCTGAGTCTCTCACAGGTGCTGAAAGAAATATCATGACTGTCCAGCAGCCGCTTGTCCAGAACATGGCTGCACTGGGCACCAACACCCTCCTCCATTCATGCCTGTTACTCGAATTTACTTCTATTAAGATCTACTATCAGGTCCTCTTTTAGGTTACCGAGCCCTGGCTGGCCTTGAGCAGGCTGGCCTCAGACTCCGAGACCAGGGACCTCTGCTGGGATTAAAGACAAACACAGCCACACCTGGCGTGTGAGGTGTGAGACAAGGTCTAATCTTGAACTCTCCGAACTGTCTGTGGGGATAATGACCTTGAACTCCTGACACCACCATCCCCCCCCCGCCACTCCCTCCCCATACTCCACACCCCCCCACCCCCCTACCGTGCGCCTCTACTTTTCTCTGGGATCACAGGTGAACATCACACCCTTACCTTCTCCCGTCCGCTTTATTCTTTCATCAGCTGGTGCTGGTACCACCCAAGGTACATTTCCAAACACGTTCACCTCTTGTTGTCTCCAGCCGCCTTCTCCTGGCCGTATCCCACATTTTGTCATCTGAAACTCCCACCTCCTCAGCACCCTGACCCACATGGCCTTTGTCGCCTGCTCTACTCATTCACTCCTGACCTGCCATCTTAGCACTTCCAGCCCATGGGTCGGTAGCTCTTCTGTCCCCGTCCTTCAGCCCCATAGACGTCACAAGTCCCTCCTCTCGATTCCATGGTCAACATTTCTTCTGCTCATCCAAATACCTCGCAGGTTACTTGTTCCCGTTCACAATTTACCCGACAGTCTTCATCCTGAGCCGACTCACCGACTGCTTTCTCCAACCCACACAAGTAACTGACACCACAGGAAAACGTGCGACAGGCTAGACTCGTGCTACAGGCTAGACTCGTGCTACAGGCTAGACCGGTATGCTACAAACCCACCAAGCTCAACCTTACCAAATATTCTGTGCTCAGTATCAACTCAAGACCTATTAGTGAATTGTGTAGCTACCTCTGGAAACTGGCTCATGGCAGTTTAGCACACATGCAGTTGGAGGATGAGGTAAAGATACTTGGTATTCATGGTAGCACAATTAACAGGAAAACAAGTGTATTTGATCTATTCGAATTGGCCTACGGGCCTTGGTAGTGCAAGTCTGGATCCCAGTACTCAAGATGCTAAGGAAGGAGGGTTATGAATTTGAGGCCGGCCTGAGTTACATAGTGAAACCCTAACTCAAAAAATAATGAAAGTTAGGGGATTGGAATGTTGGCAGAGTACTTGCACACACAAATTCCCAGCATTGACTGAAACAAACAAGGTGCTGAAGGAGCAGAACAAGCTCCATTTTGAGAAAGAACTTCATTTTAGACAGGATCTAACTGGGGGTGGGGGTGAATGCAGTCCAGCAAAGTCATAAACATTCCGAAGAAACTGTGCCAGCCCTGCTCAAAGTGACCCCACCGGGGTGTCCAAATAATGTCTGCTTTCTTCAAATGTCCTTGTAGGTATCTAACCATTATTTTGAAATTCTTGGCTGGACAGCACAGACACTGAGAGAAACTATTAATAAATGGGACCTCCTGAAACTGAAAAGCTTCTGTAAAGCAAAGAACACGGTCAACAAGACAAAACGACAGCCTACAGAATGGGAAAAGATCTTCACTAACCTCACATTAGACACAGGTCTGATCTCCAAAATATACAAAGAACTCAAGAAATTGGTCACCAAAAGACTACATAATCCAATAAAAAAAAATGGAGTACAGACCTAAACAGAGAACTCTCAACAGAGGAATCTAAAATGGCTGAAAGACACTTAAGGAAATGTTCAACATCCTTAGTCATCAGAGAAATGCAAATCAAAACAACTCTGAGATCCCATCTTACACCTGTAAGAATGGCCAAGATCAAAAACACTGACAACTTATGCTGGAGAGGTTGTGGGGAAAAGGGAACACTTTTGCATTCCTGGTGGAAATGCAAACTGGTACAACCACTTTGGATGCCAGTGTGGCCATTTCTCAGAAAATTAGGAAACAATCTTCCTCAAGACCCAGTAATATCACTTTTGGGTATATATCCAAAGGATGCTCAATCGTGCCACAAGGACATGTGCTCAACTATATCCATAGTAGCTTTGTTTGTCATAGTCAGAACCTGGAAACAACCTAAATACCTACCCCTCGATTGAAGAATAGATAATAAAAATGTGGTTCATTTACACAATGGAGTACTACACAGCAGAAAAAAATAACGACATCTTGAATTTTTCAGGAAAATGGATGGAATTAGAAATTATTTCGAGCGAGGTAACCCAGACACAGAAAGACAATGATCACATGTACTCACTCATAGGTGGTTTTTAAACATAAAGTAAAGAAAGCCAGCCTACAAACCACAATCCCAGAGAACTTAGACAACAATGAGGACACTAAGAGAGACTTATATAGATCTAATCTACATGGGAAGTAGAAAGTAGAAAAAGACAAGATCTCCTGAGAAAATTGGGAGCATGGGGACCTTGGGGGAGGATTGAAGGGAGGAAGGGAGAGGCAGGGAAGGGAGCAGAGAAAAATGTAGAGTTCAACAAATATCAATAAAAAAAAGAAATTCTTGGCTCAGCAAGTAAGAATCCCAGCTGCTCTTTCAGAAGTCCTGAGTTCCATTCCCAGTAACCACATGGTGGCTCACAGCCATATATAGTGGGATCTGGGTGGCATAAAGTTGTACATGCAGAGAGAACACTCATATACATAAATCTTTAAAAATAAAAAGAAATTCTTGTCTGCTGACAGTCACTGTTTTTGAAATTCCCCTATGCCCCAACCAACGAAATCAAAAGTTGTATACTTTTATCTAATCCTGAAATTCCAAGGCTTGTGCCACCATGCTTTGTGGTTTTCCCTAAAGGTTTTCCCTAAATTCCCTTGCCCTGAGGACTCAGGGCCCTTCTCCCCCACCCGCTGGGAAAGTGTAATAAAACTCAATCCAGACGAGTCTGAAAAATCAATAAACCCCAGTGTGTTTGCATTGGATACTGGCTCTGTGGTGGTCTTGTTTGGGGATCCTGTGACACAGGTTTAACAGTACATGATACATGTATATAGTCCCAGTAGCTAGGTGGTAGAGGCAAAGAATCAGAAGTTCAAGGCCACCCTTTATTGCATAGTAAGTTAGAAGTTAGAGGCCAGTCTGAGATACATGAGACTTTGTCTCAAAAAGTTTAAAGTAAAAAAAAAAAAAAAGTACAAAAAGCTCACTCTGGGTCTATCCACAAAAGATTAAAGTAAACCAGGTGTGGTGGTACACACCTTTAATCCCAGCACTTGGGAGGCAGAGGCAGGCAAGTCTCTGAGAGTTGGCAGTGAGCCAAGCCTACATAGTGAGTTCCATCTAGTACTACATTATGGGACCCTGACTCAAAACAAAGATGAGCCGGGTGGTGGTGCACACCTTTAATCCCAGCACTGGGGAGGCAGAGGCAGGCGTATGGATCTCTGTGAGTTCCAGGCCAGCCTGGTCTACAAGAAACACAAAAGCTAAGAGAAACACTGTCTCAAAAAACCAAAAAAAAAAAAAAAAGAGCCTGTGTCTCCTCCTGCTCAAGTCAGGGTCTCTCATAGCTCAGGCTGGCTTCAAATTTATAACCAAAGATGACCTTGGACATCCGATCTTCCTGCCTTCACTTCCTCAAGAGCTGTGATTACAGGATGGGCCACCTATCCTGCTCCAAATATGATATTGCCTTACCATTACTGTGATAAAAACACCGTGACCAAGGCAACTTATAAAACAAAGTATTTAATTTGGAAGCTCACATTTCCAGAGAGTTCACATCCACAGGAGCAGGAGAGGGAGCACACTGGGAATGGTGTGAACTTATGACCCCTCAATGCCCAGCCGAGTGACACACACATCTCTCGCGAGGCTACACCTCCTAGTCATTCCAAGAGTTCCACCAGCTGAGTACCAAACATTCAAACTCACAAGCCTGTGGGGGGGCCGTTCTCATTCAGCTCATGGGGTGGGGGGGAGGATCGGGTAGGGGGGTGGGGAGGTTTGACAAAATAATTCAGTCAAAAAATTCCCAAACTTTAAGACAAGAAATCTTCATATTAAAATTTATTGAACCTCAGACAGAGTAAAAACAGTAAAACCATACAAAACCAATCACTGTATTGCTTAGCGATGGATCAAGACAACACCACCAGCTTTACCAAGATCCAAGGGTGGCTACATCTCTGGAGGATAAAAGAAGACTGTACATAAACGAATTCTTTGACTCAAGTGACTAAAAGGGCAAATATGTATTCTTTAAATTGCATCATAGATACAGGCTTTCCACTGCAGGTACAGTTTGGTATCATGTGCTTGGCTAGCATTCCTGAAGGCCTGGTCTCTCCCAAGCACCACACCCGTGTCGTTGGCACACACCTGTAATCCTGGCACTTGGAGAAAGAATAAATTATTCTTGGTGACATAGTTCAGATCCAGCTTGGGGCTACATAAGACCTGCTCCCACAATTCCATATATGCGCCTGCAACATGGCTCAGTGCTTGCCGCCAAGCCTGAAGACCTGAGTTCGACCCCTGGCACCTCCAGGATAGGAGGGAAACTCCAGTGAGCTGTCACCTACCTCCGTTCATGCACTGTGGTACACACACAGGCAAAACTGTCAAAGTTAAAGGACAACTTTCCTCTATGGTAGACATCACAATAGGGAATTAATCTGTTTCTCACCTGTCACCTTCAATCATTTCATGCTCTTAATCTGCTTCCATCTCCTGAGTGCTGGGTTTCCAGGCACGTACCACCACTCCAGGCTAACACATCCACTTCTAACAGCAGCTTCCGACATCCACAGGCAGAGGCCAGTTCTGGCCTTTGGTGCTCCTTAACAGTCAGGGTGACTGTGCCTAACTCTTCAGTGCTCAGGACGCTCAACCAAGGGTGTCTGGGAATGAGGCATGGCTAAGTCTCTGTGGTTAAGGTCTGGCTCACTGAGGCCTGTTCTTCCTGGTACATCCTTCAGCTGTGCCCACACCCATGTGTTGTGTTGTAGAGGCTTGAGAATTAGTGAGCCCAACATGGTCCCTTAAGTGTAAGATGGAGTCACCTGGCATAGGACTGGTCTGGGTCTATCAAAAACACATGGAAGGTACCAGCTCTTGGAAGGTGCCAGTTCTTGGAAGGTGCCAGCTCTTAGGGAAGAAACCCACTTTGGGGGCAAAGATATCTGGGGTTCTGGGTTATTATAGGAGCCGTTATTGAGCTCCTACAAGGAGGATAACTTAAGGCCTAGCTCCTTTCTGTTAGCTTAATACTCAGTAAAATGGCCGACTGAATTCAGAAAAGAGCCAGGGTGAGCTACCAGAACACTTATTATCCCTCAGAACCAGAGGGGAGGGGAGCAGAGGCAGCCTGAAACTGGGTGGGTGCTCACACCTGCAACTCAGCCTGGGCACCACAGTGAAACCCTTTCTCAAAAGCAAAACCAAACAAAGGCCAACAAGAAAGGTGCTTGCTGCCAAGACTGAAAACTGAATTCAATCCCAGGGCCATACACGCTAGAAGATCACTGGTTCCCCAAAGTTGTCTCTGACCTCCACGAGAGCACACAATAAATACACGTTTTAAAAAACACATAAATGAAAACCTGCAACCTGATACCTGGGCCAGGTAGAGAGGACGTTATGGTGGGATCTGTCCTGAGCCCTCCCATTCCCCACTCCAATTTATAAACAGCACAAACACTGCGTTTATTGGGGACATTCAACACCAAGGTATAGGAGGGAAAGCAAGTGGAACGGAGGGGATGGATAGTGTCCTTTGCAGCACATTTCCAGGGTGGACACTGCTTCCTGGCCAACCTTGAAGGGTGTGTCTGCAGGCTGCTTGGGAGGTCTCCCCAGACTGCTGTTGGGGACAAGCAATACTTGCAACAGTTCGTGGGGTAGAGAGAATCACTACCTGTCTCTCTCAAATCTCCTCTTTCCTGGAGTTTCCCCCATGACTATCAGTGTCCTTGAGACTGATTTTGGCTTGATTTTGGTGGCCCTGGCCCCATGGAATGCCAGATATCATGTCCTGTAGTGGAATATTCCAGTCGAGACCTGGGAGGAGAAACTCTGGGCATATGGATGGTGAAGCCAGAGGGAGCCTGATGCAGTGCATGGAATGGTTTCAGTACCTTCTAACACTAAGATGTCTTTCCCATGGTCTGGCCCTGGACACTGTGGAAGATCCAGGGAGAGAACATGGTTTCACGGAACAGGCAGGCATGAGAGTGTTCCCCGCTGTTGACTGACAGGAGAAGTTTTCTAATTAAGTCCAGTCCATGGCTCCATCTTCTCATCTGGCTAAATGGCAGAAGTCACTAATTCCTGAGAGGCACCAGATTTTGAGGAATCCATGATGGTGTCAAGAGCGTCATGTGAGCCTCCCCACCACTTCCTGTCTCCCTCTGAACTTTCACCTACCCCAGAGATGACCCAGTCTCAGGCAGCAGGGTCTTGGTTTAAAGAATCCAGGAAAAGGAGCTAAAGCCCCTGACCAGGAGCAAGAGGACCACTGATCTGTCCGTCCGTCTGTTTGCTGTTGGCCTGAGGTGTCGGGAAGTCTGGCATGCGCTGATGAGTTTTTTGGTGTTGCTTGAGATGGTCGGATCTCATGAACTGCCGGCCACACTCGGCGCATTTGTGTGGTCGGTCTCTGGTGTGGATCCGTCTGTGTCGCCGAAGCTCATCAGAGCGGAAGAAAGACCACGTGCAGCCTTCCCAGTCACACACATAGGGCTTCTCACCTGGGGAGGGGTGAGGGAGAGTTCAACGGAGCAGAACAAGCCAGCGGGAAGGAAGAGATCTAGTTCTGAGGCAAGAGGACTTAAAGTAGAGACATCAAAAGGGAAGACAAAGGAGCCAGTGGGAGGCGGGACCACCAGATGGAATGAATGGTGAGCTAGTGGGACCCAAAGGGCTCGATTCCAAGCTTGGAAGAGAAAGGGCCAATCCCAAGCAATCATAAATCAATGGTCCTGCATAAATCAAAAAAAGAAAAAAAATAGATGGGTCAGACAATTAATTGGCTCAGTTGTTGCATTTGTTGCTCTTGCAGGACCCAGGTTCAATTCCCAGCACCTACACGGTGGCTCACAACCATCTGTTTAACTCTAGTTCTGAGGGATCCAAGTTTCTTCTGGCCTCCATCGGAGGGGCCAGGTACGCACAGTTTACAGACATTCATGAAGGCCAAAACACTCGTTCACATAATAAATCAAAAAATTTTCGAACAAGCAAAGATCGCTGCATCCCTGTCTCCACCCAACACCTCACTCACCCGTGTGTTTACGCTGATGACTCATGAGGTGAGAGCGTTTGGTGTACGCTTTCCCGCAGTTTTCATAGGGGCAGACAAAAGGCCTTGAAGCTAGAGGCGGCCTCCCAGATGCCTCTCCTGAAGCACTGGGGCTCTCTGAACCCTGCGGACTAGGTGTGGACTGCTCAGACACGAAAGGTCCTTCCTGGGAATTTGACTGTGTCACAAGCGAGTCCTGGGAATCTAAAGTCAGCAATGGCTGAAGCCTACCTGGGGGCATCCCAAGATTGTAGGGATTTAAGTGCAGCATCCGATCCATCGAGGGAGGCATGGCACAGGCCCCACTGGGAGCCATGCCTTGGACCAACAATATTCCATTATTTAAAGAGCCCGTGGGAGCAGGTACTGTTGAGGGGACAGGATAAGACATCGGTGAGGCGCTGCTGTGGGCCATGACTGGGATGCTGCGGGAAGCTGAGCCTGGCAGGCCACTGTGAGGCATCAGATTCTCACTGAAGGCTATGTTCACGCCCATCAGAGTACCTGGACTACCTAAGGACATCATGTGGGATCCCGTGTCAATCATTCTGGCAGGTTGGTGGATAGACGGTGGCTGATGATACATCTGGGAAGGTGTAGGAGGCAGTGGGGAGGAGTACCTCACACCACGCTCAGGTAGGGACAGAATGACCTGTGACCCCCCTTCACCCTCACTCTGCCCGGATTCCTCAGCGGATAACATATACGGCCTTGACATATTGGATACATGTTGAGTGGCGGGTGGAGTGGGTGGCTGATGGACTCCACCGTTCCCAGAAGGCACTGATAGATGCAGCATTGGTGTCGGCCTCTCATTATCCTGTAAGAAAGAGTCAAGTGAACCAAAGTCCGCTTTGCTCTGCTCCTCAGCTCCACACACCTCTCCTCCACACCCCTGGGCAGCAGGCATGAACGGACCATGGCTTATGTCCGCCTCAGGCTGGCTGGAACTCGCTGTGCAACCTATTTCTAGCAATCCCCCTGCCTCAGTCTATTGCTAAGTCCTAAGTTTAGACATGAGCTGCTACACTGGACTTACAAATGCTATACTCATTAAGGGACCTATCTGGTTTTGATGATGTGGCCCTCATGCTATTTGAATCTCTGGGGTGGAGTTCCACCTGAGAGAGCTCATCATTTTATTGGAATTTTGTCTGGTTATGGAGCTTACCGAATCTCCAGTGACAACAGGGACGGAAAGGGTCAGTTCTCAGCTCTTCACTCCAGAATGGGTACAAGATTAAGAACTGAGCTGGGAAAGGTGCTTCAGTGAATAAAGCTTTGGCACGAACTGAATTCCAATCCACAGATCCCGTGGAAAGTCAGGCTCAGTAACAAAGGCATCTAGAATCCCAATGATACACATACAAAATTCTACCAACTGGGCCAGGCGGTGGTGGCGCATGCCTTTAATCCCAGCACTCGGGAGGCAGAAGCAGGCGCATCACTGTAGGTTCGAGGCTAGTCTGGTCTACAAGAGCTAGTTCCAGGACAGGCTCCAAAGCTACAGAGAAACTTTGTCTCAAAAAAACAAACAAACAAACCTAAAAACTATATATAGAAAACCTTTCTTCCTGCATGTGGGTTCCAGAAATTGAACCCGGATCAGACTTGGCAGCGCGCACCTTTACCTGCTAAGCTATCCCAGACCTTTATAACTCAGCAAATACTGGCTGTGTCTAATTGTTAAGCACTGTTTTATTAATGGTGCACAGAATTAGTCATTTTTATGCGTGTGAAGTTTTTGGTTTTGATTTTGGTTCTTCCTTCCTTCCTTCTTCCCTTCCTTCCTTCCTTCCTTTCTTTCTTTCTTTTCCTTTCAGCTTCTCTGTAGTTTTGGAACCTGTCCCGGAACTAGCTCTTGTAGACCAGACTGACTTCAAACTCAGAGATCCACCTGCCTCTGCATCCTGAGTGCTGGGATTAATGGCGTGCACCACACCACCGTCTGGCGACTCAATACATTTAAAATTAAACTGCAAATTGCTAGATTAGGGCCTTCAGGACTTCAGAATGCTAATGTGGCTATTAGTCACCAGTGTTACATTAGAAATTTTAAAAGAATTCCATTGTTGGCACAAAAACTGAGATCTAGATTAGAAATATAAAAATAACAAACCTGAAATTTAGGTTGTATAAATCTATATACAAACTATATATGGAAGTTACACGGAATCTGGGTTGACACCAATTTCCATGAGAACCACAAAGAAAATAGTTACAGATTAGACACAAAAGAAATTGGTGAGCTGGATGTGTTGACACATAGGTGGCAGAGGCAGGCGGATCTCTGTCTACATAGTGAGTTCCAGGATAGTAAGGCAAGTGGTGGTGGCCCACGCCTTTAATCTCAGCACTTGGGAGGCTGAAGCAGACGGATCTCTGAATTAAAGGCCAGCCTGGTCTACAGAGTGAATTTCCAAACAGTCAAGGATACAGAGAACCCATCTTTGAGTCGCCCCCCCCCCCCAAAAAAAAACTAACTCAGGCCATAATCAACGGAGTCTGACAAATTGCTCCAATAAATGTTTTTCCTCCCCACCCTTCTGCAGTACACAAATCCCTCCTCACAGAGCTGAATCGAACCCTCCCGCCTTCACCACCCAAAACAGGCTCTAATGCTTGATTGAAAACATACTTTAATGACTAAACAAGCCTCCTTTTTGCTTCGGCCCTCTTCATTCCAACCTTCATTCCGTTCTCCACCACCACCCTGCAACACCCTAGGGTAGACCACAGACTCACCTTGGGAGGCTGCTGCGCAGCCTGCCACTCATCTTCCTGCTCCATGTCGGCCTGGGCGCAACTTTGGACCAGAGGTGAGCCTAACAAGACTGGTGCAGTGCCGTCACAGGGAAGTGTCCTAACACTACGCCACAATCCCAGCTGCCCGTGGACCTTCTAAAAGCCTCCAGGGCTGGGCGGAGCCAAGGCCACACCCACTCAGGACCCTCCCACTCAGCGCTCAGCCAATCACACAACTCCTTAGCAGGCCTGATGCCTGCAAGAGGGGCGGGATCCCTGACAGGGAAACCTTTGACCTTTACTCATCCCCCCCCATCTTTGGTTTTGTGGGGTTTTTTTTGTTTTTTGTTTTGTTTTGTTTGTTTGTTTGTTTGTTTGGCTTTTCGAGTGAGGGTTTCTCTGTAGCTTTGGAGCCTGTCGTGGAACTAGCTCTTGTAGACCAGGCTGGACTCGAACTCACAGAGATTCACCTGACTCTGCCTCCCAAGTACTGGGATTAAAGGCATGCGCCACCACCGCCTGGCTCTACCACTTTTTAAAGACATTATGTCCGCCCTTCCACACCTACATCCTCCAACCTACAGTCTGACCCAAAGGAGTGGTAGGGAAACCGCGATCCGAGACCTCAGAGTGGAGAAAGAGAAGAAGCTTGGTGGCAGAGGCAGGGCAAGTAACAGCCTCTGTTAACAGGAGGGACACCACCGTGCCTCCAGATCAAAACAGTAAGCTTTTATAGGGCGTGACAGGTGGTTCTTGCTGAGGCTGGGCACCTCTGTCTTTTCTCTAAGCGAATTGAAGCTAAGGTGTCCCAGCATGCAATTTGGGCATTCCACAATTGCCCATACACTGTGTGTGGACTCTGATTCTCTGTAACTCCATTCCAGGAGATCAGATGCCCTCTTCCGATTTCCTAGGATACTGGGCATGAACGTGGTACACATACATATATGCAGGCAAAGCACTCAAGCATAAAAATAAATGTAAAAATAATTTTTAAGGAGAAATAAATTAAGCAGACCAATCTCTGAGTTCAAGGCTATCCTGGTCTAAATATTGAGTTCCTGAATGGCGAGGGCTACAACTTTGAGACTCTGTCTGAAAAATAAAATAAGTTAGTAATAGACTTTTGAATCTGGCATAGTGGTACACACCTGTAAACCCAGTGTTTGTGAGGCAAAGACAGGAGGATACTGAGTGTGGGGGCAGTCTGGGCTACACAGTAAGACTCTGTCCCTCCAAAAACAAGCAAACCCAAGCAAGCTACAGCATAGAATTTAGCTCTTTCCACCAGTCCTATGACAGATTGGATCAAAACAAAAAGGGGTGTATGGGAGTGTGGTGTGTGTGCGCGTGTGAGTGCTCTTGGTCAGTATGAGACATTCTAATATAACAGCTGAACCAGTTAGTGCTTCACTGGGTTGATGGTGGGAACAAGCATTTCCCTGAGTCCCTGGAAGGTAACTGATACCTTTCCCTTTGTCGGGAATGCTAACAGAAAGGCAGCTCTCTATAGGGACAGGATGTTCTAAGATTGTCTATGCAGCATCCAGTTGAGGATTCCAGATGAGGGTGGTTTGGTTAGAAGCCTAGAAAGCAGATCTGGGTGGAAAGGTAGATTTCAGCCGGGTGGTGGTGGCACACGCCTTTAATCCCAGCACTTGAGAGGCAGAGGCAGGTGAATCTCTGTGAGTTCGAGGCCAGCCTGGACTACAAGAGCTAGTTCCAGGACAGGCTCAAAAGCTACAGAGAAACCCTGTCTCGAAAAGAAAAAAAGAAAAGAAAAGAAAGAAAAGAAAGGTCTGACGCCTCAAGGATAAGAGATCACAGGGGATTCGAACATGGAGGGAGAGGGCTCAGGACACACCCAAGACTGGGTTGAAGGATAATCAATGAGATGACCCAATAAGCAGACAGGAAATTTAAAGCCAAGTTTTCCTTACAAGCCCTGTTCAGGTTTGTGTTTGTTTGTTTGCTTGTTATTGTAGCTGGAGTTTTTTATTTTTTGTGTTTTTTTGAGTTAGGGTTTCTCTGTGTAGCTCTGGCTGTTCTGGAGCTTGCTCTATAGTACAGGCTGGCCTTGAATTGAAGATCTGCCTGCTTCCAAGTGCTGGGATTAAAGGCGTGAGCCACCGTTACCCACCCTGTTGCTTTGTTTTGTTTGTTTTAATGAGACAGGGTTTCTCTGTACAGCTTTGGCTGTTCTGGAACTCTACTCTGTAGACCAAACCGGCCTCGAACTCACAGAGATCTGCCTGCCTCTGACCCCCGAGTGCTGGGATTAAAGGCGTGCGCCACCACCGCCAGTCCCACCCTGATTCAGATCAATGGATTTAATCCTCAACTCTATGAAGAAAAAAATGCTAAATACATAAACTCAAAGAACAGAAGTTGCAAGAGTTCAGGTCATGTGATGCCGTTTATGAAAAGTCATTTATTTATTTACGTGTTTGTTTTGTTGTTGTTGTTTGAGACAAGATCTTACCATGTAGTCCTGGCTGTCCTAGAACTCACTCTGTATACTGGCCTTACAATCACAGAGTTCTGCCTGCCTCTGTCTCCCGAGTGCTGGGACTAAAGACCTGCACCACCATCTTGGCCTATGAAAAGTTTTAAACCATGCAAAGGAATACTAGATTTTTATGGATGTATACAACAGATTTACTAAAGATATAAATTCACTCATGGGAGTGACAAGTGATCCATTTAAGATGTCAATAAAAAATATTGAAATTATGTTCACTTAAAGTATGATTTTAACAATTTTGTTTGTTTTTTCTCTGTATAACCCTGGAACTCACTCTGTAGACTAGGCTGACTTCAGAGATCTACCTGCCTCTGTCTCCTGAGGGCTGAGATCAAAGGTGTGTGCCAACAGGCTATAACAATTTTTGTACACAAACACACACATACACACATCACAATTCAGAGTCTCACTATGTAAGCCAAGGCTGACCTCAGACTCACAAAGATCCTCCTGTGGCATGGACCACCACATGTGGTTTGAATTATTTGTCTGATCAAATTACTTAAACCTTGTTTTTGTTGTTGCTGCTGTTAACATTGTTTCAAAGGCTTTAGCCTTCTGTTTATGCCCCTCGGGAAGAAGGAAAGCCTTTGTGGTCCAGGCTGTCTGTGACTGTCTCACTGATTGGGGGAGAACTGAGAAACTACAGCCTGGGGATGAATAAGCTTTAAATCTTATTGTGGACACCTGAAATAGTCTATCTTCCTAGAGTGTTAAAATCAAGGCCCTTTGTTTTCATTGATTTATGGAGACTAAAGAGCACTTACATAAATCCAATTTTGCTGTAAACAAAACAAAGAAGCTAAATTTCTAATGCTTTAAATGGGATAAACAAAAGAAAACAAAAACTTTTTTTTTTTTGTAGAAAACATTAGTAAGAAATGATTTTTGAGCCAGGGCTGCAGAGACAGGTGGATCTCTGAGTTCGAGACCAGTCTAGTCTACAGATCTAATTCCAGAACAGTCAGGAACTGACAGAAAAACCAAACAGCAACAACAATAAAAAAGTGATTTGGGCTGGGCGGGCGGTGGTGGCGCACGCCATTAATCCCAGCACTCAGGAGGCACAGGCAGGCAGATTTCTGTGAGTTCGAGGCTAGCCTGGTCTACAAAAGCTAGTTCCAGAACAACCAGGGCTACACAGAGAAACCCTGTCTAGAAAAACAATAACAACAAAATTTATTAACTGTACCCTGTGGCCCGAGTGTCCCTGCCCACCATTCCTGCGCACACTAAATAACCAATCAATTCATTACTTTCCAAAAAGAAAGAGGCAAAGTGTAAAGAGTGTGTACAGTGTGGTGGCGCTTGTGTAAGACAGGAAGCAAAAGGCCTGTGCCTGCCCAATGTGGACAGCCGAAGAAGGGAGCAGAAGATGGTGCCACTGGGGGACCACACTGCGGAAGGATGGGGTGGAAGGAATGTGGGGCTGGAGGTCGGGAAGAGGGACGAGAGGGAGAGCTTCTATGAGCAGATTTCCTGTACGATCCTGAATTCTAGTCTTAACTTTAGGGAGCTCCACCGATGCAAAAGTACGTGACTGTGAACATCTGGACTCCCAAGCTGTGGTGAAGCTTGGCCCTTTCAATCCTGGTCTTTCCTGGTTTGCTCCTCCCAGCCTGGGATGTTGTTTCCTCCTCCTCGGGCCCCTTCTATCTCCCTGGGTTTGCTTCCCGAGGCTGAACCTCTCAGGAAGCTTCTCGCTCCTGCACGCTCATAACAGACTTGGTCTCATCTCTTCTTCGGTGGTTTTCTCAGGAATTCCTTTTCCTTTGCTTCATATTTTTCCTGAAGATTGTTGGGTTCTCTGTCGGGATCACAATTAAAAGACAAAAAAAAAAAAAAAAAAAAAAAAAAAAAACTTTGAAAAAAAAAAGAAAGAAAAACCAAGGTAGAGCTGGAGAGAAGGCTCGGCAGTAAGGAGCCCTGGCTGACTAGGGCACTAGCCCATCTCTCCGCCCCACTCTCCTTTCTTTCTCTTGTTTTTTTGTTTGTTTGGTTTTTCCTTTGCGCGCGCGTGTGTGTGTGTGTGTGTGTGTGTGTGTGTGTGTGTGTGTGTGTAACAGAAATATGCATACAGGTGCTCTCAGAGGCCAGAAGCGGGACTCAGATTCCTTGGAGCTGCAGTTAAGGTGGTTGTGTGCCACTCTATGTGGGTGCTGAGAACTAAACCCGAGTACCCTGAAAAATCAGCCTTCTTTTTTATTTTTTTTCTATTTTTTAAAAAGAAAACAAACTATCTTTTTTCACTTTACATACCAATCCCAGTTCCCACTGTCTCCCCCCCCCATCCCCTCCACCTGTCTCCCCACCCCATCTCCTTCCACTCCTCAGAGAGGGTAAGGGACATTTCTTTGGGGAAGGTTCAAGGCCCTCCCTACTATATCTAGGCTGAGCAAGGTATCCATCCAAAGAGAATTGAGTCCCAAAAAGCCAGTACATGCATGCAGTAGGGATAAATCCTGGTGCCACTGCCAGTGGCCCTGTGGTCTGCCCCAGCCATACAACTGTCACCCGCATTCAGAGGGTCTAGTTTGGTCCTAGGCTGGTTCCTTCCCTGTCTGGCTGGAGTTGGTGAGCTCCC